AGGACGCGCGACCAAGGCCGAATCTTGTTTCAGATATCTGAGAGGCGCCAACCGGAAAAGAAGAACTTTCAGTTTGCGAAGGCTTGTCACTCGAAGCAAAAGGAATTTTGGTGGCGTCATCTGAAAAATGTGAGCTTTTATATGGACGGCGAATCGACGGTTACCATCCCTCGGAAGCGAAACGACAGCCTTCTCTCTCTCCCCGCATTAAATGCGCCTCACGTCACATTAAATGCCGTGATGAGGGTCGTCGTTTCAAATGCGTCATATAATTAATGCTGTCAAAACGACGCCGAGTCAGTGCACAACGCATTTAATGCGCCTGCCATACGCTTTAACGCGTGCAGAGCGCCTGACAGCGTGGGAACTGACTCATTGAATCTCCAACCCTAAGGCACAATAAGAAGCGTCCGATGAATCCAGGTCGTTGGAGTGACGATTGTCAGGTCGTTTGGGCAGAATGTGAGGTCGTGTTCGCAAAAGGCCCTATCCCGAGCTCCTTCCGCTCAGGTCGAAATTAGTAGAACCTCCAGTCACGGCATGACTTAGTTTCCAAGGTTCGACCCTCAAACCTTAAAAACTATGGGACTTCTGTTATGCCTGGGAAGACAAGCGCTGACGTGGAAAGTCACGTGATGAAGAGTGACCTGCTCCCGTCAGAGCAATACGTGCACGTCAGGCCTGCCAAACGATACGGAGCTCCCACGTGTCCATTTTCCCTGCAATAAATCGTGTGAAATCAGCTTGGAAAGAGAGCAATGGGACGTAAAGCTGGATTATGTCCTGACAATCACACCAACCCATGGATTTAATGATGAGTACATGCCTTCAGTTTGATATAAAAAGAGGAAGACCCCTTCATTAAGGGGATTCAGCCATTTTTACACTGAAACTCTCTCTTTCTTGTAAACTGTATATTTATTTTCCCAATCATTTGTAAGTCAGTCCGCTTTTGCGACCTGACCCACCATATTAATACAAATCAGTGGACGTAGGACTTGCGACCTTAGCATCCGAACCACTTTAAAAGCTCTCATTGCATTTATTTCGTATTCTCTATCCATAATCACGTGTGCTTCTTGACCAATCAACATTGCGCACGTGTCGTTTAGTTAGTGTTACAACCCCGCATCAACACAATTAAATTAATACAAATCGCATACATAACAATCTAAATGAATTTCAATCAGTTAGAGAAGTTTTCACAAATCAAACCATGGCCCTTAGTCCCCATTCTCATTTGAGAGTGTTGATACAGAAATCTGCATCAACTAGAGAATTCTTATTGACCCTGTCAGAACCGGAATGGATGTGCACGTGATTACGGATAACCAGCAGTGGATGAATAATAAAGGCAATAAAGTATATGGCTGAGAGATTTTTAAAGTGGTTCGACAAGTTAGTACTTGAACCTATGTCCACTATTATCTTATTGTTTTTTAAAGCTTACAAATAACAGTATAATTCCTACGAAAATTTGCTTAGAACAATTGTCTAACCCCCTTGAAAACAAATTATGATGGGTTTACATATCACTCATTTACATGATTGAATTGAGATAAGATTCAAATATGTAGGATTCAAATATGTAGGATTAGGAAGTTGCATAATCTTCGGCTACCTTAGTTGGAATCTAAGTTAATCTGAATATTTTCCTTCCAAATTGAGTCAATCTAAATATTTTCTCTCCTAATAAGGAATTATCCTCTCCGGATTGACTGCATAACATCCAAATTGAACTTACAAACTGAAACTAAAACTTGTTTTTATTAATAATATACAATTTGTCTAAATGCAAAATTTGTTGTTTAATTTCCTCTTTTTTCTTTTTTTATTTTTTGTGGGGGGAGGATGTGAATGATATGATGCTTGCAAATTCGAAGTTGATTACATAAATATTGAAATACAAGTTGTTGTTGCGATTTCTCGCACCAACGAGAAACACGCAAATTTCCCAGAAAACTTATGCAAGGGTGTGTGGTAGACCAGTAATATGATGTTGAACTGATGGTAGAATTAATAATAATGCAAATAAATAAATAAAGAGTAGACAAAATTAATTTTCAAAGTGATTTGGATGTAAAACGCAAATCTTACATTCATTGTTATCTTATTGGTTTTCTTGTATGTGTACAAAGGCTACTTGCTCTCAATTGAGGCAATTGCTTGTAGCTATTAGAGAAATGAAATTTTGAATCTCTTCTTTGGGTGGGGAGACCCCTTTATATAGTGTTTTATAGGCGAACTTACTCATAAAACAACCCTTTCATATCATGACATGTGATCTAATAAACTTTTACGTGGTTGGGGTGTTTTAATAAAATCTCAAATGTAAATGGTTAAAATAAATGATTTAAAAAATTATATTATTTTTCGATTAATATAATATTTCATAACCAAACTCACCTATAAAGTAATCATTCTATAATGTGACAGGTAGACTAAACACTTATATAGTCATGAAACACGAGAATCCATGTCCTAGTTATATAGTCATGACTCATGAGTAGAGGTGGAAAAGTAACCCATCCGGCCCGGCCCGTGGTGGGTTACTTCTTTTGGCAGGTTGGTCCTAACCCGCCCGCCAACAAAGGCAGGGCGGTTTAGGCCCACCATTTTTTGGGTAATTGCTGGGCCAACCCAGCCCGCCAACCCTAACCTATCGGGTTAGGCTGCGGGTCGGGCTGGGTTAACCCTATTTTTTGAATTTGTTTTTTATTTAGTTAACTTTTTAAATAAATAATTAACGATTTATAAATGAATAAATGTAATTGCTTTTAGTTAACTTTTCAAATATCAATAATTCAATTTAATTAATTTTTTTTATTAACATTTCAAATATTAATTCGATTTTAATACAATAAAATTGTAATATAAGAAAAATTAGATTTATTCATTCAATTGATGAAACTTTAGTATAAGAATGAATTATATTTTATACAAGACATGGAAATTTAAGAATAAGACTTCAGTATTTAATTTTTTTATATTTTACGTACCATAAAAAATAATAATAACAATGTGTCAAATATTATGAAGTTTTATACATTTTAATATTTATGATTTAGAAGTATAGTTTAATATTATTGTGTAAAATTATTTGTAAGAGTTCAATCGTAATAGTTTAATTAAAGGAATTAAAAAAATGGGAGAAACTTGAAAAAAATAATTAATTTTTTTTATTTTTATTTTTTTGGGTCAATCTGGCGGGTTGGCTATTGTAAACAAATAGCAACTCGCCGGGTTGGCAGGTTGCCATATAGCAACCCGGTCCGCTCGAAGGTTGCATGCAGGTTAGGTTCAACCCGGCCCGCCTATAAATTAACAAATTTATATGGGTGTCCTTTTATATTCTAAATATCGACTAAGCTCCAGCTTTAGAGCAACCCCATTTATTTCAACCCCAATTTTAGATTACTTGTTCAGCGGTGAATTGATGAAGTATGAATTCACGCCCTGTGTCTCATGACTAGAGGTGGAACAAATGAATCAGATTAGGCGAGTCAATCCTAACCTGACCCGTATTAGAGAGGGTTCAACCCGGGTCTGGTTAGGCTAATCAATCCTAACCTGACCTGTATTAGAGAGGGTTTAACCTAGTCTACTTATAGTTCACCTTTAGTCATGAGACACAGGACGGGAATTCATACTTCATCAATTCACCGCATAACAAGTAATCTAAAATTGGGGTTAAAATAAATGGGGTTGCTCTAAAACCGGAGCTGAGTCGATATTTAGAATATAAAAGGAAACCATATAAATTTGCTAGTGCGATATGTTTATGATGTAGACTCGAAAATATCTTCTCTTAGCTTGAGCACACAGGTTCTTAAAATACAGGCCACTTGAAACATAATTAGTATATCACATCAGAATTAAACCAAAAAAGAGAGACCACTTCCATTTGTAGTTTCTTTAGAAAACATAAAACTATTTCCAAATATTGGCATCTCTCACCATCATATCCTGTTATCCACACAACTGGTCACATCCCCAGCTGGAAACATTATTTCTTATCTATACTTGAGTCCCTCATAAGTTTGTTTCACAATTTTAATTTAAAGAAATATGACGGCTATAGGGCGCCCAATTACAGTTCCGATTGAGACTTCGTAAAATTCCCATCAATTAAATTATACAAATCGCATACATAACAATCTAATGATTTCATCAGTTAGAGAAGTTTCACAAATCAAACCATGGCCCTTAGTCCCCATTCTCATTTGAGAGTTTGATACAGAAATCTGCATCAACTAGAGAATTCTTATTGACCCTGTCAGAACCGGAATGGATGTGCACGTGATTACGGATAACCAGCATGGATGAATAATAAGGCAATAAAGTATATGGCTGAGAGATTTTTAAATGGTTCGACAGTTAGTACTTGAACCTATGTCCACTATTATCTTATTGTTTTTTAAAGCTTACAAAATACAGTATAATTCCTACGAAAATTTGCTTAGAACAATTGTCTAACCCCCTGAAAACAAATTATGATGGGTTTACATATCACTCATTTACATGATTGATTGAGATAAGATTCAAATATGTAGATTCAATATGTAGGATTAGGAAGTTGCATAATCTTCGGCTACCTTAAAATCAGCTTGGGAAATGGGCAATGGGACGTAAAATCAGATTAGGTCCTGACATTCACACCAACCCAAGGATTTAATGATGATTACACGCATTCAACTGTGTATAAGAAGAGGAAGACCCTTTCATTAGGGGGATTCGATCATTTTTTACATTGGAACACTCTCTCTCTCTAAAAGCTTTGTATTTACTTTTCAATCATTTGTAAGTCAGTCCGCTTTAGCGACCTGACCCACCATATCAATACAAATCAGTGGATGTAGGATTTGCTACCTTAGCATCCGAACCACTTTAAAAGCTCTCATTGCATTTATTTCATATTGATAATCCATATTCACGTGCGTTCCTTGTCCAATCAACGCTACGCACGTGTCGATTAATTGGTGCCTAAATCTTGCATCAAGATGTTCCTACAAGCACAAAGCAAGAACCAGATTATCTCCTACTTGGCGGCAATGACCTTTTCAGTTCATCTCTGTTTATCATGGCTTTTGACGGTGAAATATAAGTTTGGAATCACAGGAGCAATGGTGTCCACAGTTATTGCTTATTGGATTCCAAATTTGGGTCAACTTTTGTTTGTTATATTTGGTGGATGCACTGAAACATGGCATGGTTTATCAATTTATGCTTTCAAAGATCTTTGGCCTGTAGTTAAGCTTTCATTGTCATCAGGCGCCATGCTTTGGTAACGTTTTGAAATAAATAGAATTTTTTCTTTCCTTTTTTAATTCTTTTATATGTAATAATTTGAGTTGTCCTTGACGGTCTTGAGATCTGGTACAACACCATCTTGCTTCTTCTAACTGGAAGCATGAAAAATGCTGAGGTTGCCATTGATGCTCTAGCTATGTAATTAATTCCTCACATTCTCTGCCTACTTTCTCCTTTTGTTTTCAATTAAAACTTAAAAAATTTAAAATTTGGTCAACTATGTTAATTAGGTCTTCAGCTTACCTTTTATAATGCTGGTGTTGATGTGCAGGATCCATAGACGGGTCAACTCATTGGGACAGGCCATAAGATTGGACGTCTGTTCAAGCTCACTTCTTTGCAGCTCCCATCCCATCTATCTCGCTCCATTGTTGCTCCTGCCATCTTTTCCCAATTATGGCATTCTCGACTGGGTCATGCCTCTATACCTCGTGTTCGTCTTTTGGCCTCCCAAGGTCACCGAGGTTCTATAGGTTTTGAGTCTTTTGATTGTGTTTCCTATCAACTTGGCAAACAAACTCATTTATCTTTTAATATAAGTGACTCTTTTTCGACTGCACCTTTTGATTTGATTTACTCTAATATTTGGGGTCCTGCCCCCACTCCTACTGAGCGGGGATCTCGTTATTTTGTTATCTTTGTTGATGACTATTCTCGTTATACATGGCTATACTTGTTCAAGCATCGATCTGAGCTTGTTTGTGTTTACAAACATTTCATAAAATGGTATAAACTCAATTTTCTTGTACCATTAAAGTTTTTCGTTCAGATAATGCCATGAAATACAATGACAAAACTCTCATTGAGTTCCTGAATCAACAAGGCACAATGTCACATTGTTCTTGTCCCTATACCTCTCAACAAAATGGTCATGCCAAACGAAAACATTGTCATATCCTTAATATTGTAAGAGCTCTTTTACTTTCTACTTCTTTAACTGAAAATTTTTAGGCTGAAGCTGCTCTTACTGCTGTGTACACAATCAATTAGGTACCCTCATCTATAGTCCACAACAAATCTCCTTATGAGCTTCTCTATGATATGGTTCCTAACTATTCCTTACTTCGTGTCTTTGGTTGTGCATGTTTTGTTACTCTTCCTCCTTATGAACGGACCAAACTAGAACCCCGTTCTCGGTTATGATGTCTTCTTGGTTATGGCTTAACTCAAAAAGGTTATCGTTGTTATGATCCTATCTCCAAACGTCTTCGAGTCTCTCATCATGTGGAGTTTTGGGAACACAAACCATTTACTAGCATATCCACATTCTCCCCTTCCTCCTCTAACCACTCACTCATATTACTGATCCCTCATTGCTCTATTTTCTAACTCTTCTGCAGAGATTCCGAGCTCCTCATACAGTTCTTCCACTACTGCACCCAATCCAGTTGATGCGTTTGATGGACCACCTGCCACACCACCCCTTCCTCAGTCTTCTCCACTCCCTGAACCTCGTCGTTCCGGTCGGGTAAGTGTTCCTCCTACTCATCTTCATGATTATCACTATTTCTCTATCCTTGCCACCCTCCACGAACCTCACAATTATCGTGAGGCTCGTACTGAGCCTCTTTGGTAGCAAGCTGTGTATGATGAATTGAATGCTCTTGTCAAAACACATACTTGGGATTTGGTGGACTTGCCTCATGGTAAAGCTGTAAATCAAGACTCGAACAACTGGATTAGTTGAACGCTACAAGGCTTGACTTGTTGCTAAGGGGTTCACCTAGGAGTATGAGATTGACTATGAGGAGACTTTTGCTCCTGTTGCTAAAATTACATCTTTCAGATCTTTACTTGCAGTTGCTGCTGTCCGACGTTGGGAATTTTTTCAAATAGGTATTAAAAACGCCTTCCTTAATGGTGATCTTACTAAAGAAGTTTACATGCAGCCTCCACTTGGCTATGAGCATCCTTCACATAAAAGTTTGTCATCTTTGTCGCGCACTTTATGGGCTCAAACAGACTCCTTGAGCTTGGTTTGAGAAATTTCAGTTAGTGGTTTCTCAACAAGGCTTTCTTTCTAGCCCATATGATTCCGCACTCTTTCTTAGCACTACTGGGGTAGGTACTATCCTTCTTTTTCTCTACGTAGACGATATGATTATTACTGATGATGATATTGCTGGTATTCGAGATCTTCAAACTTTTCGTAGTCAGAATTTTGAGATGAAGGATTTGGGACATCTTAACTACTTCCTTGGCCTTGAAGTTACTTCAAATCAGGATGGATATTATCTCACTCAAGAAAAATATGCCTCTGATTTACTTTCCAAAGCTGGGTTGACAGACAGCAAGATAGCCACTAGTCCACTTGAGTATAATACTAAGCTTCTAGCCACTAACGGTTCTCCACTTGCAGGTGCAACTCTTTTCGACAGTTAGTTGGCAATCTCATTTATCTTACTATCACCAGGCCTGACATTTCATATGCTGTTCATCTGGTCAGTCAGTTTATAAGTGCACCTCGATCTACCCATTTTGCAGCAGTTCTTCAAATTCTACGCTACATCAAGGGTACTCTGTTTCATGGTCTGCACTTCTCATCCCACTCCTCTCTGGAGCTACAGGCCTATTCTGATGCAGATTGGGCTGGTGATCCTACTGATCGTCGCTCCACCACTAGTTATTGTTTCTTACTTGGTACTTCTTTGATTTCATGGCGTAGTAAGAAACAGTCTGTTGTTGCCCATTCTAGCACTGAGGCTGAGTATCGTGCTCTTGCTGATACGACATCTGAACTTTTGTGGTTACGCTGGCTTCTGAAAGATATAGGTGTTCCTCAATCAATAAGTTCTCCTCTTCACTGCGATAATCGTAGTGCCATCCAGACTGTGCATAATGATGTGTTTCATGAATGTACTAAACATATTTAGATTGATTGTCACTTCATCCGCCATCATCTTCAGCAGGGTGTCCTCCAGTTACATTCAGTTTCCTCTGAAGATAATCTTGCTGATATTTTTACAAAATCCCATCTACCTGGTCGACTTGGTGATCTTATTTCCAAATTCCAGTTGACTTTGCCACCAAGAGTTTGAGGGGGGATGTTAGTATATATATTAGTATCTTATAATATCCCTAGAATATTGTTAGTAAATATATTAGTATCTTATAATATCCTTAGAATATATGATTATTCTTGTAATTAAGCTATAATTTCCTGTAATTATGCTAGGTTAAAATCTTTCCATATAGTGTATTTCCTTATTAACTTTGGCCTTCTCCACTATATATAGAGGCCTCCTTTGTATAGTTTTTACACACAGAAATATACAATCATATGATTCCTCAAAACTCTCTTTATTTCAACACCTCACATTCTCTCCCTACTTTTCTCCTTTTGTTTTCAATTAAAACTTAAAAAATTTAGAATTTGTCACTTTTTTTTTTTTTTTAATCCGAAAGTAATTGATACAAATGTAGATTTATTGTAACGGTGGAATTAATCTCTAGTAAATAATTTGATTTTTCTTTTATAGATTTATGTATTTAGTCTTTTTGTAACAGTATAAAAATCTGTAGCAAATAATTAACTGTAATGAAAAAATTTTACTACAAATTTTTTACAACACCAATTTTAGTATATAGTATAACAGAATCTTCGTGATACAAAAGATGCATTTTCTTGTAGTGGAATTTTATGTGAGCTAATTGTTCATTCTACCAAATTCTTGTTAACAGCCTCAATGTAAATGGTCTGGAAATGATGTTATCCCTTGGTTTAGCCGCTGCAGTGAGGTATCATCGTCTCCATCTTTTCTGCCTTTTTAAACCACTTATACATAATCAGTGAAGTATTATTTCACACTTTCTGATTTTTCAAAGAATTTATCAGAGCATTAATCTGAATATTAAAAAAATAAAAAATAAAATAAAAATAAAATAAAATAAAATTGATCGTTTTGGTTATCGAATCTTCAGTGTTAGGGTGTCGAACGAGATTGGAAGAGGAAGCTCCAAAGGTGCAGTGTTCTCAATCATGGTCACAACTGTTACTTCATTTGCTATTGGATGTGTGCTATTTGTAGTTTTCCTACTTCTCAAGGGACGTCTAGCATACATGTTTATCGATAACAATGAGGTGGCTAAAGCAGTTGCAGATCTATCACCATTGCTCGCTTTCTCCATACTTTTGAATAGCATTCAACCAGTGCTCTCTAGTAATTTTTACCCAGTAGGTTATTATAAATTTTTCCTCATTCAATATATAAGTATATATAATGAAAATAAATAAATTCTTAACAGGAGTTTCTGTTTGTGCGGGATGGCAAAGCATTGTAGCCTACGTTAACTTATCATGCTATTACTTGATCGGGATTCCTATTGGAGCTGCTTTTGGTTATTATTACCATTACGGAGTCAAGGTGAGATATCCTTTCACATTCTTTATTAAATTTGCGCTTGGACTAGGTGCAAGTCGAGCTATCTTTAAACTCTCTTCACTAAGGGCATCATTTTGCCGACATCGAGCCCCCACGAATTTCCTGGGCATTGTTTTGTACCGGAACGGGGATACGTCAATGCAGGTTACGGCTATGCCAGCGCCAGTCTTACATCGCCTTGCCCTTCTTTCTGGTTTTAACTAAATCTTAGCAATGAAATGCAAATTGAACTCTAACTAGTTTCATAACTGACGTTGTCAAAGTTTTGTTGTAAATATTACACTGGAACTTCACTTGTTATGGGAATGCTTATTTCATTGGCTGCATTTATGTGTCGAATTTTTTTTTAAATTTCCATCACAAATATGTTTGCGTTTGAGACTCTTGGATTTCGTTGCATGCTTCTCTTAAAGGTTGTTGTTGCTTTTGCGTACTTCCATTACAATAATTTTCAAATCATCAACTTAATTATGTTGATGGCAAGTTCCATTGAGGATGGACCGTTTCGGTTCTCTCTTCAAAGTGGCTTTTCTTCTCTTAATTATCACACAATTAGTTCTTCTTTCTTGGGGACAATAAAACCAACATGGTCACAAATTAAGGACCTAGTGATAAAGTTTGCCGGCATAAGCTCTCAAATGCACAAAACATTTATACGCACTACTCATCCGATTCCAAGAAAATATATATTGACTAGTTAGCTACTAAACGAAGTAAGAGAGAAACGAATAACTATTGTTGTCTATAGTAGTTAGGGATTCAAGAAAGGGTACAAACTCTTCCTTGAGGATTTCAAGCGTCCTTTCACCTTTATCATAAATTACTTAAAGTAATACTCGTAAGAGATTGAGTTAGCATCAAATGTAATAATCTTTATTGATAAGGATCAATAAAGATGAATCTTCACAATGAATGTCAAAAAATTAAGTAAAAATTTTAAGTCACAGTGTCCCAACTCTCTCTCTCTCTCTCTCTATAATAAACCTTCATAGATTTTGTCATTAGAACTTACCACCTGTTACTATTGGAAATGCAAGGGTGGGGTAGCCCATTTGTAATGAACAGTTTGGTTAAAATGTCAATGTCAAGGTGTTTTTAGAAACTGACCAAAGGCCAAAAAGAATCTAGGATTTAAATAAAATATTAAACTAAAAAAGTGTCTGCATTGAAGCCTTACTTAGCTTCCAATATAACGCCCAACATGGAGGTACATAATTTAAATTATGTTTTATAACCCTTAGTTAATTTTTATTAAAATTATTTTAAGAGAATATGAAGAAAATGTCTTAAACTTGTATTAATGGTAAAATGGTATTTTTACTCAAAATTAATTGAAAAAGTAGAGAGTGAAATGAGGTAGAATTTCATAAAAAATAAAATAAAAATGAGGGTATTATGGTAATTGACTACGGGACAAGGATGGAATTTTCAAAAAAGTGTAAGTGCAAAATGGGAAAGTGAGTTTATAAAATAAGATGATAAGGGTTTGTAACCCTTATTTCCTTCATTCCACCGCCACACTACTCCCCCATTTTCTCTCAAATTCTCATTCAATCCTCCAAGGATTTTGAGGGCTTTTGAGTGATTTTTAATAAGGTTTTGATTCAAGACTTCAAAAGGTAAGAATTCATGCTCTTTATCTATGATTTATTTGTGTAAAAGTTGAGTTCTTATGAAGTTTATGCTTAGGGTTAGAAGAAGTTTTGAATCCAACAAGAGTAGAGAGCTTAGAAGAGAAGACTCAAGCATAAGGTAAGTAAATTCCACTCAAAATCCAACTCAAGTTAAAGTTTAAGAATTCAAGTGAGTAGAGATTTCTTTTAAGTATGCATATGTTATGGTTATTGAGAAATTGAGATGAGATTGATGATGAATTATGCTTGTTGTTGGATATATTTGAATATGAGAAGTGTATGTGATGGTTTGATGATGAGTTGATGGATTTATGAATGGGTTCAATGTTGATTTTATGGAGAGATTTCCACCATGAGAAGGGTGGATTGTGTTGATAAAATTTGATAGAAGTATGGATAGCTTTAGAAGAATTTGAGAGGAATATTTGAAGTGTGTTTTCTTTGCAGGATATGTGATGATTTAAAGGAGTTGAACTCCAATTTTGGATGGTTAAGAAAGAAGTAGAATTATAGTTAAAATAGAGTTTATGTATGCACACATATTGTTTGATGAAATGCCTAAGTGAAAACTGCCATGTCATAGTCGTGACCTTCTGAGTGATTTTTAGGCATCTTACAGATTGAACTGGGTTGAGACTAAAACATAAAATTGTAGCCTTGTCTCTAAGCTCCGATGTGTATAACTCAAGTTATGCCTTCTTGAATGTGACCTATGCAGAATGATTATCTTGATGCAACATTGCATTTGTGCATTTCATAGGTGCCTGAAGTAAGAAATTTTAAGCATGAACCATCCTTATACCTAAATTGTGCATTAAGAAGTAGCTTCAGAAAAAGTAGGAAACCTTGTGAATGAACTACTCTAAGAGTAGAGAGAATGAGAAAAACACAAAGAACAGGTTGGTGCCTTGTGAACTCCACCCAACAGTCACGAAGAGTGGGTTGGTGCTTTGTGAACTCCACCCAGCTGTGCCTCCGGTAAGATGAGGCCGTGATATTCAAGTGAGAAAGAATAAAGAGAGAATGAGTAGAGTCACGAAGAGCGGATTGGTGCTTTGTGAACTCCACCCGGTCGTGCCTCCGATAAGATGAAGCTGTGACTTACAATAGAAAATTAATAAAAGAGAACTGTGTGAAAGAGAAACAGAAAGAGAAAATAAATGAGACGAGAAATGTATAAGGAAAGAATTAAGAAAAAGAGTTACGGGGACAAACGAGTAGATGATTTACTTACTGAGCATTATTTTTGTGCTCACCCCGCTGTTTTTCTTTGTGATTACAGGATCTAGGTGAGAACGTGATTGGATTGGCGTTGGTAAGCGAGGAGCAATAGCTACACTGTCCACTGTTTTGATAACTTTTTGTAAAATGATATCTTATTTAGTAATAAGAATGTTTATATGTACTAAAAGAAAATTTTGGGCCCATCTATTTTTGTTGATATAAATGTATTTTACTTTATGTATTTCTATGAGTATCCTAGTATAAAGGAGTTATTACATTTTGGCATCAAAGCAGAGATTTTGAGATTTGACAGTGTACTATTCTTATCGCCACGACGTCCGATAACCGACTGTGTGAGTTAATTCTTTCCTTACTATAAGTGTTTCTCGAATTGATTAAAAGTGGTTGTTTTATAGATGAGGCGTAGTAATCGAAAGCGTGGTAAGGGTGTGATGAATGAGGGAGAACCTTCTAACCCACCAGAAGCTACGCCCCTTCCCTTGGATGAAGCTAGAGTTCGGGGGATTGTACAACAAGTTATGGCAGAGAGCCAAAAGAGAGTTAGAACCCCCGTGCAGGTACCACCAACCACTACTGTAGAAAGAGAACAATCGGTACCTCCCCTAGTACAAAACAGAAATTGTAACACCCCACTTGAGGTACGTAGTTAAGATTTACTGTATTGCTTAAACATTCATTGATTCAGCTTCAATTAAACTTATATGTTGTTATTTTTGGTTTGTTTGGCCCTTGGTTGAATGGATGTATTGGGTTGGTTGAGTGCTTGCCCTGAAAATTATGAAGACTTGGCGAAATGTTGTGTTACAGGCTTCGCCGGGGTGAAGAAGAATCTTCGCCGCGGCAAAGAGGTGCTGTAGCCCACGGAGTAGCTACTGGAGTGTTTCACCGTGGTGACAGGTCGGCTGAAAAGTTTTATTGAGTTTTAGATATTTTTCCTTAAGGGCAATTTGACCATTCTACCCCTAATTAGCAGGAAAAGTGGGGAGTAAAATGTAAGGAAATTTCATGGAAAATATGTTAGTATGGGGGTGTGTTTGTAAGGACTCAAAGGATATGGATGGAATTTTCAAGAAAGAATAAAGGCAAAATGGGAATGCTTATGTATAAGTTGAGCTAAAAAGGGTTAAGTGTAAAGAACCCTTCATTTCATCCATTTCCACCGCCTCTTCCATTCTCTACTTCTTCTCAAATTTCCTTCAATCTTCCAAGGATTTCTAAGGACTTTTTAAGTAGTTTTTAGTAGAGTTTTAATCTAAAGCATCCTAAGGTAAGGATTCTTGCTTTAGATGAGAGTTTTATTATGTTTTGGTTAAAGTCTTATGTTGTGGTTATTATTTAAAGTTGTAGAGAGAAAACAAGCTACCAAAGGAAAGGAGAAGTATTAGAGAAGCTATTTCCTCACAAGGTAAGTAAATCCAACCAAGTTGAGATTCAAGAAATCTTTTGAGTATAGATTTATGTATGTGTAAGTATGTTGTTGAGAAATTGAGATGAGATGGATGTTATTTATACTTGTTGTTGCATATATTTAAATATGAGAAGTGTTGAGATTGCTTGATGTTGGGTTGAATTTGATTGAGGTGGAACGAAGTTTTGAGCAAACTTTATAGAAGTGTTTTCCTTTGACAAGGATTTAGAGAGTATAAGGGAGCCTTTCTCCCATTTTGGATGATTTAAAAAGAAGAGAAAAGTTATTGTTAAAGTAGAGTTTTATATGCACACTAGTTGTATGATGAAACGCTTAAGAGAAGCATGAGTAAGAGTAGAAAGCCTTAATTTTTGCTACATAGCATAATTGCATCTCATAAGTGCATTAATGAGCATGAGTCATCTATGTGCATTAATTATGCATTAGAAAAAGAGAGTAGAGAAATTGAGTTTAAACTACTCTAAGAGTAGAGAGAAAGAGAGAATGAGTACTAGAGAATAAAGAGAAAGTAGTGCTAGACAAGAGAATATAGTAGGTTATGCGATGGGGAACCTGTGAGTATGGGTAGAGTATTCCCGCATGTACACCGCATTGAGAGAGTGGCATGAGTAACTGAGAGAGAAGTGATGTAGCCCGTGAGGGTGCATGCGGATGAGGGCTATACTCGAGTTTACCCAAGAGAGAGTTTTATACACTCACATGGCCAAGGGTTCCGAATCCATGCATAACCGAGTCTGATCGGCTAGAATGAGTAAAAGTCATGGAGAGTGGGAGTGAGTCCCAGTCGTGCCTCCGGTCAGATGGGGCCGTGACTTGCTAGAGAGAGAGTTAATAGAAAAGAAAGAGAAACAGAGGGAGAGAAACCGAAAGAGAAAGCAAAGAGAG